ACTCACCTCATCGTGTGGGGCGGGATGAGTTCCTCGAAGCAAGGATGGAGAGGGTATGAGAAACAAGGTCCCCACCCTGTTATCTTCCGTGTTTAAAGTTCATTTGAAATTTAACGTTTTTTAATAAATAAAAAGAAAAAGACCATCATCCTTTCTAAGGAAGACATAGATTGTTGAGTTCTTACCAAATAAAAAATAATAAACGGAACGAGATAAGATAACAAAAATACTAGATTGGGTAGGGACAGGAATGGTTGCCCTGACCCACCGCGTTGCCATCCCTAATTTCACTTCCTCTCGCACCCACTACCTACTCCACCTCCTTCCCCGTCCAATGAAACCAAAATAGAACTTCTGCTTTTTTTTCATGACTAACGATGACATGATTTCTCTCCTTAGTGACCGCCCTATTTATTTATCAAGGGTTGAAAACTAAAGGGTAGGTGCTGTTGTGATGGTGGAGAGTAGCGTGGGTGCATGGGGGTGAGGCAGTGATGGGAGTTGGGTGGTGTGAAGATGGCAATTTTACTCTCTTTTTCAATAAAAACTTTTCTTTTTCCCTATTTTTCATTTTTATTGATGTATTTTTATTGTTGTAAATGAAAAATTATGAAGAGACAATGTTGTGCTTCTTAAAAATACTGAATTGAAAGTCAAATCGGTCATGTAGTCAACTAACGTATTCTTGGACGACATCCATAGGTCCTTATACCACATTTTTTCAAACACTTGGGATTGCGGTACCAAAATGAAAGTTAGGGACCGAGTGACATTTTTTTGGAACCTGAATTATAATTTATTCGTAAGCAAACTACTTCTCAAAATATTGTCCAACATTTTCTTTTTAGCAAAATACTATTTTTTTTTATTACTTTTACTTTTGTTATGCTTTTATATCACTCGTGTTATGATTGGATAATGTTACTTGTGTATAATCATGCTACATGTATATCTTATTTGACGTTGTGCCACATGTCAGCACATGATTAGACAGTTTTTAAAAAACATACTTTTCCACACTACACTTTTTGAATTCCTACACAATGTGTTGCAAATGTGCATATATCATTTAGGGCATGTTTAGTTTTTTTTTCTTATTTCATCATTCATCCACTTATTTGATTTTGAACAACGAGATTTCAACAATAAATCCCACACTTACCATCAAATCGATCTGCATCTCCACCATCCGATTTGTAATACCACCATTTCAGCCTCAAAGCACAACCACCGCCACCTTCACAATCATTAGATCCGTCACCAAATAAAAAAAGGAAAAAAATTCACACAATATAAATCTTACATATGGTTTTTATTTTCGATATACATGCACACAATTGTACGTATATATAATGGAGAAGGCCAAGATGTAAGTTTCATTAATTAACTAATTATTTTTTGAAACAAACAAACAAACAGTAATGTTAAAAATATCAAAAGATTTCACAATTTTTCTTTACATATTTTCATACTTTGAAAGTGTCGTATGATGACATCATTTTTAACTTTCTCAAATACTTCTTCTTCTTCTTTTTCCAATATAAACAACTAGACTATCATTCATCCATTAATCTACAATTCGGTTGCACAGTCAATTCTTCATAATGTTCATCGCAAAAAGGACTCTTTATACTGTAGCAATTGCAACCACAAGAATAAATGCTAAAGTCACAAGCTTGTAAAGTTATGGGCATCCTTTTTCCACACTACCAACTTGTGCACAAGAGCCCCAAGAATCCGTAATTCTTCAAACTCCCTACTAGAGCATACAACAATGATTAAGTTTCTAGTTGATCATCAAGCGCCATTAGCTCTTTGCACAAAAATCTTCTGGATAAAATTTAGCTAGGCGAATTAGTTATTCCTTGTCGAAAGAGAAATGAATCGCTTGGGCAAAAACATGGAATGCAAAGAATTAGCTCAATATTTACCTCACAAAATGATCAATTAACTCTTCAAGCTACACATCAATGATAGAATAAAATAAATCCACACGATAGCGATACAAACTTGTCATTTCTTCAGTGTTACGGTGTATCGTTACGTTTAGTGAACAACCTGTACTTACAAACATACCATTAATTTTTTGGAACATCAATTTTGTACTTGTGACAAAAAGAATTGATTTGTTCCAAAGAAGAATCTCATCCATTGTCCCTTATCACTTGGGGTCGATTACCTATTTTCAAAAAGTCATGGCATTTAAAATATCTTAATCTTTTCTTTGGAGTGCCTTTGACAATTCATTTGAAATTCTCAAGATATTTCTCACGAGATTTAGATTGGATGCAAACTCAAATGCATCAAATCCAACATATAATTTGCTTCACCCTTTTTTAGAACCCGTTCTATCAACTACAATCATTCCATGGACATCAATTACATTCGCGAAATATTTGAATCAAGTTCATAAAAGCCTCATAGTGAGAGCCCTTACATGTATCACCATAAAGTTTTAGAGCAAACTTTTGATTAAGACTCCGTCCACTTGATATTTCACAATCATTAAGTACTTCAAAAATTTTGGTTGCTTGTCTTTCTCGAAGATCACATCTTTTAGCCGATGCTCCAACAACATTCACCACATTATCAATTAAATCAAAAAGTGTGCCATTGTATATATGCTTCTTTGTCACAAATTCAGGAGCTAATTAAAGTTGATGAGTGATGAGTGTGCTTTACACACGAGTTTAATACCATTCTAGCTTCATTCGGTTGCTTCATTTGTTAATTATAGAACGAATTTAATGTGTTTGCTAGTGTTTTGGTTGAAAGAACGATAAAATGATGAAAAAATGGATGTGAAGCAATGGAAAGAAGAAAAAAGACCAGAAACGTAGCGCACAGGCGCCCAAAAGTAGTGCCCAAGCGCTGGGCGAATATGAGAAAAATTCGGCAAAGATGCAGCGCCTGCAGACCAACGGAATTGCAGCGCCCAGGCGCTACCTGAGAAGACTTCGCAGCTCCTAGGCGCTGCCTTCTCGCTCCTAGGTGCTGCGCTGTAAAATTTAGTTTTTTTTTTTTTTTTTTT